GCCTTCCAGGGAAATTATTTAAGCTGTCAAAAAATAGAACTCCTCTCTGGGTTTCAAAGTGGTATTAGTTATTCCAGTGTTCCCTTACTAGTCAATCACCGTGTGATTACTTTTAAACCAAGTACACTGATTTAGTGATATGCTGTTTGGAAGGAGGTTTTCCCATCTTTCTGTGCTGCAGGGCTTTGCTGCACAGTCAGCCTCAGCTCCTCTCCTAGCAGTGGCAGTGATGGCAGGTAGAGCTCTGAAGGCTGGCAAAGGAGCAAGGAAGCACTGTGCAGAGTTCTTGAGAGATTTTTCTTTCCTTTGGCTTGCTCATGCCTGCAGGACATACAGAATAATAAATTGTAGGTCAGGTCTTTTAGATGAGAGCTTCTTTGTAGAAATTATTTTGTGTTTATAGAGAAAGTCAGAAATGTATGTACCATGCCTACTTTCCTTTAAGCTGCAGAGAAGTGATTTTAGATTTATATAGAATAATTAATTCTGAACGGATTCATTTAGACAACAATAATAGTAATGATAGTATTAATAATAATAATGCAGTTTGGAGTAGTGCAGTGAGAAAAATAGCCACAGCACATACATGTAGGCCCTTCTGTATGCAAAGAGACAATTCAGGAATCTAATCAGAAGTTGACTTGGCTGAGGATAGAAGAAATGAAGTGGTAATACAGTTGAAAATTATAATTTATTATAGCTATTAAAAAATGCATTCAGCACATGTCGTACAGAAGCATGCTTGCCTCTGAGAGCAGTCACAACACTGATGCTTCCAGCTGGGGCTGTGCATTTCAGCAGCAGTAATTTCCCCCTCACACAAAGCATTGTCATCAACATTCATTGTCTCTGAGTTGCATCCCCTCTAAGAATGGTTAGAGTACTATAGGAGAACCAGCAAATTCTCCTTTTACTTCCACTTTGCATCAATAATTCCACTGAACCAAATTGTTCTCCCAACTTCTTTCTATACTATCCATCAGCATATTTCCATGAGTACAGCAAACAGGGTACAGTATTTAAGTCCATATGCACAGCTGCTGCATGTATGACTGGGTCTGCCTTCTTCACTGTGAGAATTTTTGTATGGGTCTCAGTCAATAAAATAGGTTAGTGGCTAAGTTAATGTAGCCACTTAGTGTGCTAGGATTTCATATTCATTAGGCAGTTGTAAGATATCTATGGGTCTTTGTTGGATAATTTGGGAATTTGCAGCTCCTTGTAAAACTTGACTAAGTCACAGTTCCCTTATTTAGCTTGATGGAAGGACGTTCTGGAGAAAAGATGAAAAGTTTTGATGTTATAAATGGCAGGAGAGAGATGGACAGACAGGAGGGAAGGAGGGAGGGAGGGAGGAACAGAGGGAGGAAGGGAGAAAGGGAGAGAGGGAGGAAGGAAGGGAGAGAGGGAGGAAGAAAGGGAGGGAGGATGGGAGGGAAGAAGCAAGGAAAGAAAGGGATGGAGGGAGGGAGGGAAGGAAGGAGGGAGGGAGGAAGGAAGGAAAGAAGCAAGGAAGGAAGGAAGGAAGAGAAGATAGGTGGAGGAGAACAGAGGAGCAAGCAAAGGAGTTGTGCATGTCCTCAAGGATGAAGGGATCAAGTTTAACCATGAAACAAAGGAGGAAAATAACTAAAATACTCTTCAAAAGACTAAGGAGATAATTATATTTAGGTAAAATAACCTTAACACCCTACAGAAGTAGCACTTTTTAGCTTTCACCATCGAATCAAGGGGTGTGATTGACTCCTTGGATCATTTTCAAGTGTCTACAATGTCTTTATTCACATCTGAGCCAAACATACTAATTTTTCAATCACAAAAGAGAAATGGAAATGTTATGGGTGCATTCACCTCTTTCTAAAGCTGTCCTGAGTTCAGCAGTAGCAGTCATTTTTCTCCTTCTTAGTAGCTGGTGCAGTGCTGGGTTTTTGACTTTCAGCCTGAGAAAAAGGCTGATAACACCGATGTTTTTAGTTGTTGCCCAGTAATGTTTACTCTGACCAAGGACTTTCTGAGTCTCATCCTCTGCCAGGGAGCAGGGGAAGCCGGGAGGAAGCAGAGACAGGACACCTGACCCAAACTAGCCAGAGGTATTCCATACCACAGCATGTCATGCCCAGGATGTAGAACTGGGGGCAGTTACCCAGAAGGGCTAGATCACTGCTGGGGTTGGGCTGGGTATCAGTCGGCAGGTGGTGAGCGGTTGTATTCTCTTTCCTTGTTACTTCCCTTATCATTATTATTATTGGTAGTAGCAGCAGTGATTTGTGTTATACCTTAGTTACTGGGCTGTTCTTATCTCAACCCATGGGAGTTACATTTTTTCGATTCTCCTCCCCATCCCTCTGGGAGGTGGGGGAGGAAGGGGGTTGGGGAGTGAGAGAGCGGCTGCTTGGTTCTGTGTTGCCAGCTGGGCTTAAACCATGACAAAAGCGTATTTCTAAAAGAGATCAGACAAGCCATATATTGAAAGTACCAATTTCTCTTCATTAATGACAGAGTGCAAGTCATCTGTAGAATCTACCTTCTAGATGTCTAAAATGAGGGGAAATTAATCCTGCCTAAAAGATACTGAATCAGTTCATGGCTAAATATGATGATGGACTCTCTACATCATTCAGTCTCTGCCTCAGTTCCTGTCTGCAAAACAGTTGAAATGTGCCATAATTTCCTCCCACTATCACTTTGTCGGGTTTATTCCAGTTGAAGACTGTGCAAGCAGGGATTCTTTACTTACTTTCCCAGTATCTTACTGTCCAGTATCTAGCCCCACTCCCATTTGCTGTGCTGGATATCACGATCATATTACTTAGAGGAGGAGTGACCTGTCTATGAACTTGGATTATATTTATCATGTATCATTGTACACAGTGAAAAGTTTGCTGATTGCTTTGCTTTATACTATTCTCAAGTAACTTATTCGTAGACATGCATTTTTAGATACAATAACTGAGTAAGGGAAATGTAAATATTTGGCACAGTTTTCATTGACTCTTTGTTTTCCTTTTTTGCTTTGACCAGCAATGTTTGAAACATTATCATATCTTTGTTTCCCATAGTTGTTGGGTTGGTTACTGTCAGTAGAAGCACTGGTTTACACAGCCTCTGATTTCTTACACTTATTTCTATGAAATTATCTCATTTGCTGTGGCGTAAGACTTTCTCTAGTGCAGCAAAACAGATTAGGGAGCTGATGCAGTCTAACAATAAGCCGGCAGAACCAATCGTTCTGTTCCATAATGCCAAATATACAAGGTTTCTGAAATGTCAGTTCAGCATCTTGGGGTCACATGCTTTTCATTGGCACAGTACTTGTGAAAATGTACACATTCATCTAACAGAGGCATGATAGAAGCACCCACAGACTTAGCAACCTCTTCCAAATAGATATATCTCAAACCAATATACTTAACACATGGAAACTTTTCCCTTTGATTCACAGTTCTAAGTTTCTCTCTCCACATCCCACTCTCAGATTTTTATTTACATTGTAGTTTGTAGCTTATGGTAGTTCACTCATTTTACAGTGGCCTTCAGTGATTCTTTGGATGGAGGAAGTTATTCTTACTGAATTAATTTCTTTTCTATGTAATATTTAGCTATAGTCAAAATATCTACTGTATTAAATGCATTGGTTCATATGCTCTCTGTTATTAGAAGATTAAGCTTTAATTCGCCTCATCTAATAAACCCAGTATGCCTCTACTTGGGTGAGTTGCATGTACGTTCCTTGGGAGATTCACCTTTCTATGCTAATAATTTCTTCAGTCTCATGATGGTTTGCTGTGGTAGGACAGACTTACTGACATATTGCACATGGCTTCTTCAAATATCATATTCTATAAAGTCAAAGCTTGTAACAAGAAACAATATAATTTATTAGGTCAAGTCTGACATCATCAAACAAAATCCCGTAACAGTTAGAATCATAGAATCATAGAATAGTTAGGGTTGGAAAGGACCTTAAGATCAGTTCTCAGGCATATAAATTCTTTTTCATATCTGAAATGAAAGTAATATACTTCAAGCAAAGTACAGAAATTGGTCTCTGTTCAGTTTGATTACTGTTAATCACTGTGACTGTCTGAGAGAAGAGGATAGTTAACATCTATGAAGCTGAGGGGGCTGTCAGTAAAAAAGGGGGGTGATAAGGTCAGTAGCCTCTACTGAGTAGAGAGAGAGGGACAGATTATTATCCCTTGTGGAGTCACAAGGGTTAGCAAAAGAGATACTATGGAAGAAAGTCATATAATGTGAGATAAACTAGCCTTCTCACTGAGTTCTTGATTTTATGATTTTTACTATTATTAGTAATTTTAAATTTTCTTTTTACAGTAGAATAATAAACTTTATATCCAGACTCACCTTCTGAAGGTTTTAGATATGAAAAGTGACAACTGTTTTGAAATGGAGGAATGCTGACAAAAAGACTCTTGATTTGTAATTATGAGTTCTTTCAAGCATAAAGTTTTACCAGCATTAAGGCACTTGTGACTACAGATGACTTATGTAAAGCCATAATCATGTGCATTCTACACTTCCCATAAAGACTGCTACTGCCTGATTCTGATATAGCAAAAGATGACAGAAATCACTCAAACCTGAAACTGAGGCAGGGAAGACATAGCCTACAGAAAGATGGATTTTGTGCAGTTTGGATACAGAATCCAGTAAATGATGTGGCCATGGAGCCATCCATAAATATCAAGTCTTGAAATTCAAGATGCCTTTCAAAAATTTACTCATCAAATATGATTACTGACAGACTCTGCTTGTCCAAATAGATCAACATTTCCACAGGCACCTAAAACTAAAGGAAATTAGAATGGAAAAGTTTATTTAAATTCTATTTTATGTGAGCATTACTGCAAAAATTTCTCAAAACATTAAGAAATATTTTTTATGCATTGTTTTTATGAATTTTAAAAAATTAGCAGGTCAGTGAGCAAATTTCCCTATCTCACCAAAATGTATATTTATTTTCTGTGCTATTATTGCAGGTGATTATGTAGTCATGACTATATACTTCGACTTAAGTAGAAGAATGGGATACTTCACTATTCAAACATACATTCCCTGTATATTAACAGTTGTTCTTTCCTGGGTATCCTTTTGGATTAAAAAAGATGCCACACCAGCAAGAACAGCATTAGGTAAGTTGTTAATAATTCCTTTTCCTGCTCTTTTTGTGTAGTTCCTTCACTATCATTTGAAAATATCAGCAAAGACACCACTGGCTATATGCTTTGGATTACTGTTACCGCATCTTGCAGACCCACAGCTACTTACCACTGAAGCCTCTGGTTTTCTGCCTTTAATAGAGTAATTAAGAGTAAACTATTCTGACCCTTTGAAATGACACTAGCATAATATTCTAGAATTAATGTCTGTCTCCTTGTTCTCACTATGATATTTTAGTGACATTTTTGAAGAATAAATTAATTGCACTGCTGGTTTCATTCCCTTTTGAAACTCTCCCCCCACAGGGCATTATGTCTTATATATACATAAAACTGTGGGATATAATAATATTAACTCAAGCAAAGTGTTTTAGCTTGTGCTCTTGAAGTTAAGCTCCACTCTAGGTATATAGATATTTTTCATAGACTCTGAAGATTTATGCTGGTATAGGTTTTCCAGCAGCTCATATATGTCAGGACAAATGTGTGTATTTTGTAATTATGCTTTAGGATACACTTACAAATGTTGACCTTTTGTTCTTATGCCAATAGGAAAACCTGTATGCTTTGACAGCATCAAGGGCATAGGGCTATATAATAGGCGTACAGCAGAACTGAAGGAAAACTAACATTTTAGTCCAGACTGTGGTTGCCAGGGCTGCCAGCAATAACTCAGTCGCAAATCTACCAGTCTAAGAAAAAGGGGAAACTATGTCAAGGTTTATATGCCTGTTTAGCATTCCCAGATATTCTTTCCTAGTTCCTGCAGGAGTTTGTTACCATCTCCAGTTAACCAGCTAGACTGTCTAAATCATTTCATTTCTAAAGAATATATTATTAAAACTGACCTGCCTGACTTTTTGGATTGAAATCAGAGAGAAAGCATTTGTAGGAGCAAATGAGTCTCCAGGTTTGAGAGGGTGATACTGCTGCAAGGAATGACTGGACGACAAGGGCTGTGAACAGGCTATATCTCTTCAGAGGCAGCCTGCAGCAAGCACAGTGTTCTCAAGTGCTGCTGTGTGCCAACAACCCTTCATTCAACTATAGTATAGGAGAGGCCATCTGTACAAACACCTCTATTTCCCACTCCCGTATACAGCTGTTCAAGAGGCATCAGTATTCCCCATCCTTTTTTATCCAAGTAACTAAGCGTTTGCTAGAAATAGTAGTTACTTATATGTGAATCCATTTCTGTTAGATGGATCTAACAGATTCTGTTAGGTCTTTCAAACACCATGTAGAGATGCTCTACTTCATCTCAAGTGGAAGCTTTGACAATACAGCCTTCACAGCCTTTATACAGTTGTACAAAATTACTTGTCCTGTTTCTGTCTCTCTCCTGCACTAATAAATCTGAGCAACCACCCATTCTGAGGGTGCTGTGGTTCCTACCATAATGTTCCTGAAGGCTCTGAAGGGGAAAAGAAAAATGAAATGCTAAAAAACCCTCTAAACTCCATTCACTCTGAACGAGATTTTAGTGGCTAAGTGTCTTGAACTTGTCTGGAAGTCTCATCCCCCTTTCTAAGTTTTTCACTCATGCGAAAATCATGCAGTCATCTATTCAGGGTACACTAAGCCCTGGGTAACAAACATTATTCCTCCCAAAACTTCTAATGCTTCAATTGTTTAGTGTAAGCGGCGAGGAGAAGCAGACAGGCCAACCCAATATGGGTGATAAGCAAACTTCTTCTTTATTTGTGACGCAGTTCACGCATATATAGGAGTGGTATTCAGCCACTCCTTCTTGGCACAACAGTATTGGTTAGCCCCTCACAGCTTCCTCCACATTCTCCTCCCAGGTCCGGTCTCCGGCTACCTGTGGGGGCCACCCCCTGCCTTGCTTGCACAGTCCTCCAGAACTCTATGGTCCTGCTCTTAGGGTCATTCTGCAACAATTCCCCCCTTTTTCTTTGTGCAAGCAAGGCATTATGGGTTATTCTGTTCACCTGTTTTATCACACAACTATAAACAAGTCTAATAGCTACGATGATTAACCTAACAGTGCTACATAAGTGCAATACTTTAAACAGCAGTGTTTGACTCAACCTGTAATGCCCTGTGAAGACAACCATCTAGTTATTCTTAGGATATTGCTCATTTACTATTGCTGGGTAAGCTGAGCTAGGGTTCTCAGCTGTGCGTGCATCGAATTAGCATAATCAGAGAGACTCATACAACACATTCCCTCAAACTCTTCACATCCATGTCCCTGTTCCAACAACAAAAGGTTCTGCAGTGTTGCATGTCTTACAGAGTCAACATTAAAACAAATCAGAAATTGCCTTCGATGTAGAATTGTCTGCTTAGCAACTCAGCAACCCAGTCTGCTTAGTTGAGTCAAGGCCCTGGCTGAAGCACTTACAGTGATTTGGCATATTATGATTGGATACATGTTATGAAGACCCTTAGTGACTAACATATAATTGGTTAAACACAGGTGTGAGAACTCAACCTTGAAAGCTTGCCAACAGTCCACAGTTCTCATTAACTTAGTGAATTCCAGCCTCTTATCTTGCTTGCTTAAACTTCTTCGGGCCTCTCATGGCCTTGCTGTATCTTTCAGGACTATTCAAAGTTTATGTACCAATTATGCGTTCTCCCATGAGAACACTATCTCCACATCTTCCCCCTTTATGTTTTATATACGGTTTGGGTGGCCCTACTTGAGCAGGGGATCTGGGCTAGATTATATTTCCAGCATATGCCAACTAGAGGCTGCCTGGGCCTGCCCCTTTTTTCTGCTGTATGGCTCTCTGGTAACAGGCTGTATAGCTCTCTGATCCTTCACATCAAGGTCTGGCATGGCATGTGTCCCCACCGCTCCACACCTGCTGGGTTGCAGCCAACAGCGGAGCTAAAGGTTCTTCTTGGTGGCAAACACAGAAGCCAACCCAGTCTTGCCCTTGATTGTGGTAGCAGGCATTTGGTCAGCCTCAGTCCTTGCACCTTGCTGTCAATGCAGAGTTTCACCTGCGTCACCCAGTGACAAGTCGCTACTACAGCAAGGCACACACAAGTTTACATTAGCAGAGTAACTATTACAGGGTGCAGCAGCATGTTGAAGATGCTGATGGCAGTGAAGGACTAGCCAAAGAAATTTCTTACCAGTGGAATTCTCCCCCCCTCTTAAATTTGTTCCATCACCTGCTTTATAACACTACCATTGTATTAAAATTTTTCTAGCTTTTGCCTTAGCATTTTCTAGCAGCTACTGCAAATTTCCATACTCTAACATCTCTTTTACAAGTGACAAATCTATACAATACAAGGTGCAGTTTCTTATTAGCAACTAGCTAGTAAATACAGGTGGGTTTATACACAAAATCACAACCTCTAATAATAGCTACTTTACAAGCACGCATATTCAGGATGTTACTTTTCAGTTGCCCCCAAGTGATGTTTTGCAGTTATTTGTTCTTTCTCTTCCTCTATCTCATTCTGCTTGGGGTAATCACGGTCAGCTCCTGTAGCTGAGGCATCAGGTTTATCCATTTGTCTGTCCAGCTTATGGCAAGGCTTGACAAACTTTGCAGGCAGTCACCATGGACCTGTAGGCAGGAGGACACAAATATACCCCCTCCTCCAGGTTATTAGTTCTTCAGTTCTTGAGAAGTAGACAGGTTAAACAGGTTAAGTGCAGCATCATTACTCTCTCTCCCCCCCCCCGTTTTTTGTTGGTTTTTTTTTTTTTTTAGTCCCTGCAAAAGCCATCATTACTCCCACTACAGTCCCACGTACAGAACGTGGCACAAGGACCCTGTGGAGACTAACAGCAAACCAGCTCGGAGAAGCATCATTGCAGTGCGAGGTGGCAGGCTCAACCTTAGCGGGCGTCCCCGCAGAGGCTCTGCCTCCCCCACATCGTATGAGGCTTGGGCTTTTATACTGACCAAAATGCACACTCATTCCAACACAGGTGGCCAGCCTGTGCTGGAAGAAGTGGCCAGCAGTATCTACAGAGGTCTCCAAGGGTTGATAGAAACCTGGACATACTTATGTTTACCAACTTCTAGTACATGAGTATCACAGAGAAATTGTATGGGCTCCCCCTGTCAATTGCAAGAAAAAATCATAACATATACAGCTTGAGTCACTGTTTGTCAGGCCTCCTTAACTATTTTGAGATCAAGAGCTTCCCACTCTTTAGCCCCCTGCTGTGTAGTAAACACAGGATATGCAGAGATGCCCATTGCAGAAAATTCCCCAGTAATGTTCACCTCTTTGGTTACCCATTGTTACAACTGAGTGTCTCCAGCGCCAGTAAGTCTGAGCAGACCGACCCGGGAGACGAAGAGTCAGGGTCTGGAAGCAGAGGATATAAATCTGGATCGGATTCAGGGGATTCGGGGGCTGATCCTGCCCCGAACTCGGGGTCTCCATTGCTCGCAGCTGTGTCTTCCTTATCAGATGTCTCTCGTTCGGTATGTAGCCATCTGCAGACCTCGCTCCTCCGTAACCGAGTTAAAAATTTTTTTACTCTAGGGCGTAGTGGGTTGGAGAGGCTCGCAGTTCCTTTAAATCTCCCGCTAGCGCATGATCTCTATTTTCTACTGCGTGCTTCAAAATGGCGCCGCAATCGATCCGGCGCCGAGGCACCTCCCTCTTTCTTTCGGATTCCTCAACATTTATCATGCGTATACCTTCTAATATACTTTCTCTGTCCTTTTCAAAGTCCCTACTTTCAGAACTGGGGTGGTGGGGGAGCAGGGGGTTACACCTCCTCCGCGGCACCTTCTGATGGAGGGGGAGAAAAGGAAGGGGGGGTGGGGGGTGGGAAACCCTGTGCTCCCGCGAGCTGGGGGGAACAAGTTGGAATCTTCCCCCGGTTTCAACCGACCGGGGACGTCTGTTCCTAGTTTCTCCGTTGCTACCGCGGCAGTTTTCTTTTCTGCCTTGTATCTTTTTATACAGTTCATTACTTCCCTCCGTGGTTTACCGAGTTTCTTTGCCTTTTTATAATCATTAAG